TGCCCCCCCACCCCCCCCCCCCCCACACAGACCGTGGGAGATAGTCTCCAGAAACCCCACAGATCGTAACAGACGGTCTCCAGAAACCCCCGCAGACCTGAGAGACGGCCTCTAGCAACCCCCACAGATCGTAACAGACGGTCACCAGAAACCCCCGCAGATCGTGAGAGGCAGCCTCTAGAAATCCCCACAGACCGTGAGAGACAGCTTCTGAGAATCATCACAGACTGTGATAGGAGGTCTTCAGTGATCATCACAGACCGTGATAGGCGGCTTCTAAAGACCATCAGAAGGTATGACAGAAGGTTTTGAGAGACCATCACACACTACGACAGATAGTCATCACAAGCTACCACAGACTGATAGATAGGGTTCAGACGTAGCACAGTCCGTTACAGAACATCTTTGAGTCTAACATAAATCAACATACGCAGTGACAAAGAAATTTTCTCACAAAATCAATAAAAACTTCATAGTATAGGCCATTTTCATGTGATTGCGAGCAGTGACTATATCGTGTTTCACATTTTTAATCCCAAAGGGGTTGCGCTAACAGCTTTTAATATCATGCCGGAAGACAAGAAAAACATCCAGTATAAAATTACGCACTCCTTGTGTATATAATGGAAATCATTGACTTTATTTTACTGCTAGTTGGAAATTTACAAATATTACATAGCTACAATTTGGGTTTACTCAATAATTACGAAAATTAGATTTCAAATCTTACAAATATAGATTTTTGTGTTTTCTTTCAATAATAATCATATTCTTTATGAGAATGTATCAAAATATGTTCGTCAACGTCTAGCTCATTTCCTCAAGTTCAATTTCCCATCTATTTGCACCATGATCTGTAGCAACTTGGCGAATCGTATTGACACGAAAAATAACAAATGGAAGAATAAGAACTTCTTCTTCGTATTCGAATTTGCTTAGCTGAGCTATATTACGGCTTGAATGTGTATTGAGAGTATTGTAAATACAGATGACAGGATGATGCATTTCTCTATCTGATACATCATGAAACATTTCTGCGACTTGACGATTTTTCGTTGTAGAAAGAAATGATCGAGTCATGAATATCTTTCCAATAACATAGCACTCGAGATCATCAGATGTGATATTCATTCCTCGAAAAGTTCTGCCACTATAATAGTAAGGCTGAAGGCTTGGATGATAGATGAGAATTGCAGCGTATATATGTGCTCCCATACCTTTCGGTGCTTCATCGTCTCGATAACCTAATTGTAGTAAAGCACGAGCAACTTCAAACCGAAAATCAGAACCCAGCTTTGCTAAATCACGATTAATATGAGGAAAAAAAGATGACCCTTCTGTATAAGCTGTGACCAATGGAAGTGCAGTTTGATCAGCAATGGCCTTTTTCACGTAGCTTTTAATCGTACTTCGATTTTCATCTGAAGTAAAAGCGATCCGATCAATATATCCATAGTCTAATTCGTCGAGTAGTTTGCCGAGGGATATTTTAGTCAACCAATGTTGCATGTCTTTACGATTTTCAAGAGCAATACGGTTCGCATTAGGATAGGCATCGATCCATTCGATATCATCAATATCACCCGTCTCAATAAAAAAACGCCTGCTGCCTTCATTATCATCACCAGATCGGCGAATATCAGATATTAGAAGATTTTTACTAGAACGCTTTGATGCAATTCGTAGCATTTTTTGTTCATCATAATTTCGTGTAGAGCGAAGAATATCTAGACCAACATTGGATATCATAGTAACAATAATTTCGTACACTTATCTAAAACGACAAATGATTAAAAAAAGAATCAGTTAACATTACTGAGCTATTTTTATTGATTAATGTTGACAAAGATTGCTGCCGGAATCTTATATTCAGAAACTACGTTAATCATGTCAATATTGCCAAAGTCTACACGTCCAGAACAGTCTTGTTCAGCTAAAAGACTAAGCAGTAACCTTTTCATTTTATAATCAGCCCTGGTGTTTTCAGAGCCCAAATCCAAAAATTGCTGTGACGATGGGTCTTCGATAGCTGCATTCAATAGTTTTCCTACTTCATTGACAGAGACATGATTTAGAGAAGCCAGATGAACTAGTAACTCAGCAGCGACATAACGCTGTTTCAATGATTTGGCTGAAGAAAGGATGTTCAAAAGAAGTTCGATTGGTTGACGCCCTGATACAACTCGTAAAGACTTGATGAGATGATCATAGCTTAACACTTTGGGTTCCTTGAGTACTACTTGCATGATCATTTCAATAAGATGAAGGGAAACATCTTCGAAACATGCGTATACTTTTATACAACACTGTTGACTCGATAAACAGACTTTTTTACTTGATTGATAGACACTGTTTCGAAAAGCAATTTCACCAAAGGAATTCTGACGAACGGCATCCAGAAAATCAGTAGGTATGTCGCGACAAAGTGATTCTGCTACTTCCATATACGCTGGAGTTCCAAAAAATGGTTCCTGATTCAAATTCTTGCACATATCTTCGACGAATAACGGAAGAAGAGTAGATGCGTTTTCTGCAATACAACGAGCAGCTGTCCTCGCAGAAGAGCTTTCATCATCTGTTGTTAGACGTTCACTAGTACTGATCATGTACGAATAGTACACATCAATAGTATCATACTCCTCTGGCTTCTTCTTTATATATAAATACATCTTAGCTAATGCTGCTTGGCGAATAATTAATGAAGTCGTATGCTGTCCTAGATGATCAAGTTGTTTCAATTTTTCCTGCATGGCAATTTCATCATTCATGTACAACGAAAAAATGCACGTAGCAATGAGTTCATCCGAATTTTCGTGCTCATTATTTGTGATAATAGTCCAGAGAATGTTTTGAATCTGTTCGTTGCATGGAAAATACAATAGATTTCTTGCAACAATGACTTTTAGCTTAGAGTCATGACTACCAAGCATAAGTTTAATAAGTAACTCAACAAATCTTTCGTCGGATACTAAACATTTGCACTGAAAATATTCAAGAATCCATTGCAGAAACAACAGGTTGGCTGAATCTAATGAGCTATTTGCCAGTGAAATCATAATGACAATAACATAATTTGTTGCTTCGATTGACAATTCCTTCATTAATCGAAAGAATGATACTTCGTATTTTGAAACATCCAGTTGAGCCTTATTAAATCTCTCACGTTCGAACTTTAGAATTTCTTCCATTTGATCGATCGTTTCGATAAATAGAGTAGACAAAATATATTCAATATCGCCAAATTTTTTCAACTCTGTTTCATTCCACTTGTAGAGACATTTAATAATTTTAGTCGTACACCCATTTCCCACATTCCTCCATTCACGACTCTCGATTAATTTGATCGCTCTATCACGGAGATGATCATATTCGTTGGTCATTAATTCACAACATATTTCCACAATGGTGGTTGTCCAGATTTTTGATGACGCTAATAGAATTGCACCATTGTAGGCAAACTTATTCAATAGTTTATCATCGCGATAGTTAAGCCATTGTAATACAAAAGGACGTGCAAATTCACTGACGTTTTCCTTATTTACCAAAGCATATTCTACTCGAGACATTTCCATTTTTTCTAGCTCTGTGATTGATGAGCAAAGAAGTTCGCATATATTTGACGCTGCTTCGACATTCAATGAACATGTTGGTTTCTTCTTCAGTAGCATTAAGCATTTTTCAATTAGAGATTGTTCTATTGGTTCGTGTTCGATTTCGCACTGTGTGGTTCTCTTGATCATAGAATCATCGATAAACTGAACATAGGAATTCATTTCAGACAGATACATGCTTGTCAAAAGTGTTGAACGTACGTTACTAATATCCGAAGTTTTAAAATAATGCATGGAGAAGTATTTTGCGAAAATTTTGCAATTAGAAGAATAAATCTGATTGAACACTAAATTACTACCAGGGCAGTTTTTTAATTGACGAACGAATTGACAGACATCACAACGAAAAGGTGGCAAACTGGCAAGTGCTTCACAAATGACTGATTGTTCATTTGTACTTACTGTTTCTAATCGTTGTAATATATTGTAAACGAGTCTTTTTTCCAAAGGAAATTTTTCATCTCGAATAACAGACATACAACGAACGAATAACGCGACATAACTTAAAAGTGGTGTAGTTGGCTCGATTTCTTCTAGACAGGATATCAAACGGAGAAAATAGGTTTTAAAGCGATCTGCAAGAGGTTTGAATTTCGCATCATTCGGAAGTATAAGATAGAAAATATTGATGGCAGCATCCAATCGCCAAACAGGTTGTTTTATTGCTTGAACGAAAATCCACATTTTCTCGAGTATTGTCTCCGATTCTATTGAGCTATCATATTTTCGAGTTACTTTAGCAAGACAGCAACATGCTGCATATAGTTCTAAATCGTTCTGAGCATTATCAATACGATATTGTTCTTTGTTGACAATTAGTTGGTATTCACGTTTGACATCGTCGTAGTTTTCGACTATTAGTATATGACTTTTGACGGTACGAGTAGAATCATTGTTCAACTTTTTTATAAAAGACACAATTGTTCGCTCACGATTGTCCTTGCTAGCGATAAAACGAACTAAATTTTCTATTCGATATTGACTAATTATAGGAGATAGTATAGAGCTTAAAATACGAAGACGAATACAAGGTATATATGTCATAAGGAGGCCATTGAGAGATTCAATCAGTAGATGAAAAAATGGTAGAAAAGAAATTTCATTAAAACACAACTGTTTTTGTGCAAATAACTCCAAGTACAATCGTTGAACCGAAATAGGAACATAACTGAGAAGAAGTGCAATGGGTTTAGTTTGCAAAAGTTGAAATGGATGGATTCCTAATTTTAAAAGATGAATATCTTCAGCTTCAACTTCTTCCGTTTCAATAGAATATCTCGATAGACTAACACAGCAAACAAATGCTAATCGTTGAACAATGACACTATCATTCCAATTAACTATATTTCTCAGGTTTATGAAGGACGGCATTTTAATATTAAATAAAGCAATACCTTCAGATAGAAATCGTTTCTGCGTTAAAAAAGATGTTTGTGAGCCTAATAATCGACAATATGCATGGGACATTGATTGCACAAGATCGATTGTATCTTCCGAATCGATGCAAAAATCTTCAAAACTATCTACAAGATTTTTTTTAAACCTGGAGCGTGGATCTAGGAAAAAGAATTCCCGTAAATGAAGCTGAACGACGTTCATATACGACACGGTGCGCTGCCACAGTTCAGATCCAATGTATTGTTCATAGTTCGATGACTGATGAATGCCATAAAAATAAAGCAATACTACTAAACTATGAATACCTTCGCAAGTTACATTTGTTGATATTGTTGTGTCGACTATTTTATGACACTGATCAATCAAATGTTGCATTTTAATTGCTCGATGTGTAGTGGTATCGTTAAAATAATTAATAAAGAGATAGGATAGAGGTGAATCACGATGCATACGACGAGCTTTGAAAACAATTAACGGACTATGTTTTCGATCTTCGTACTCCAAACCTCCATATAAAGCTATAAGAGATGCTATTACAGATGAATGAAGTTCTCGTGTTGGAATAGGTTTTGCCAACAAATATGCTCGCAAACTATTGGAAGGCGTAGGCAAACAATTGTAGTCGACTGCAGAAATTATCATTAAAATTCGATCCACGTAAATATGAATCTCGTGATTGAATCGTTCGAATTCTCTCCAGAGCATTTGAGAGAGTTGAGTCGTGGTCCATTGTGGTAATGATCGTTCGTTGTTCACTTGTCGGTATAGTATGGGTACGAGATTGAAGGAAAGTGTTGCATTTTCTTTCATAAATATTTGATCAAACCAGCTAATAACCATATCGATCGGTAATCGATTTAAAGCGCTTATTAACTGTACTCCAAACGTACAATATAAGTCGTCGATATCTAGCTCGAGCAATGAATTTAATATATTGTGTATGGTGAATAGTGAGGGTAAACATGCTAAATCGCCGAGGGCACTAATGAACAATAGAGAACCCATCGGAAAATATTTATTACTCGAATTTGTTTTTGATTGTAGTTGAATACAGAAATAATCAAAGTTTTCAAAACTCCAATGCAAACTGATCCATCCAAAAGCGAGATTCAGAGGTTCTCGTAGACGAGAATTCGAACCAAAGGAAAGATATCGCGTAACTAATTCATCAATTGTTTCACCTACTAGATTAGAATGATCAATATTCACCAGAGCCAAACATACAAAATATTCCTGAAAAGTCAAATGTAGAAAACCATAAACACAAAGAGCTCGTGCAGCAACGATACCAGCGTCTTCACTTATAAATTGCATAAATTGTTGTGTTTGTTGTCGAATAGTTGTCGAACTGTAATGTGTACTATTGGCATGTTGACTGTACCATCGCCGAAGTGATAAACGACATAGATGAGTTAGATCGAGCTCATCAATCAGGCCTGCTCCTGATCGAGAATGTATATAAAAAGCCATATCGGAAAAGATTGATATTAATGCATCTTTAGGTATGAAGGATCGACGACGTTGCCATCGTTGAACCATGGATTCGACGACTTGTTGATATAATTGAACTCGGGTTATTTTAAGCACATCAATACCATACTGAGCAAATAATGTGCAGATAATCGAAACCACAGAGAGATTTGATGCAAATGATTGAAGTCCTTTATCCGATTCGATCTTTTTAATAAGAATTTTAGAATCAAAAATAGATTTATATTTTGCTTGTTGACCCTTTATTTGTGGAATATATCGAATTAATAAAGGAATGATTTCATATTGTACATGATTGCACCATTGTTTGATGAAATTACTCAAATGTTCTATGTTCATCGGTTGAATCATGTAATGAAAAATCAAATCACTTTGTAAAGGTTGTACAGTATAATTGATTATTCGGCTTGTGAGAATAACTATGTTTCCACCTGGTAAGATATTACATCGAAACTGACGTCCAAGTTTAGCAGTTCCCAAACCTTCATCGTCAAATGGGGACACAAAATCGTTTGACATACAATACGCATGCATAAAATCGTGTATTAATTTATTAATTCGATTATACATTTCAAATGTTGCCACTTCATCTAATCCATCGAGGATGATGAGTGCATGTCCATGCCGAACAAAATCTTGTAAGGTTTCAAATTCGGAATCAATATAAGTCTGCATTAGCCATGTGTTTTGTCCGATATAGTCGAACAAATTCGAACTAGAATGACTCTCTATCCATTCAGCGAACTCTCCGATTCGAATTAAGATTGGAATACGTACTGATCCCATATCAATATCATCTATCATCATATTTTCCTCGTTGCTCAGAAGATTTCGACTCATTTCACATGTCAACCATCGTACGAATGTGGTTTTTCCACTACCCGGACCGCCGATAAGTACAATCCAACGTTCACTACGAATTGATTTAAGAAGATCAATCAAAGTCATATCTACGTCTTTCTCGTGTTTTGAAAAGTCAATCGTTTCCAAAGCTAGAATATTATCTGATTGATTTTGTTGTAGATTATAGATTCTGCGACATAGCATAGGCGGACAAATCAATGGGACATCAAACTTCTTTAAACTTAATTCAAGAGATTCTCGTTGTCGATCATCAATAATGATTTGTTGTTCAAAAATACGATTCATCAAAACCTCGATATTTTCAAATACACCATGTACACTCATTGTCGAATGCAAGTTCAAACATCGACGTAGGTACAAGTCGTATGTATTGGAATATTTTAATTTCAATGAACTAAAATTTTCTGAGTCACCGGTAGATATATTGAACGCATTTTGACGTTGTTGAAGAGTAAATTCATATGCTAACATATAATTATCATCGTCCGTTGGCATATTTGTAAGAATTAATCTTTCGAGTTGTTGTTGACGTTCGAGAAAAACATTAGTAATACGACAAAAATTATAAGAAAATTGCTTTGTATACATATTACGATCCATAAGACACGATTGAACTTTATTTATCAATCGTGCTAACAAGTGATCGAACTGTTGATGTGTTTGTTCACTAATTAACATTATTTCATTGGGACCAAAAAACGTTTCTTGAATATCATTGATGTGTTGTAGTAAGTTACTGAATGTATCATCTGTAGGATTCGGGTCGGGCCCATATATACATGCTACATCATTATTATACTCCTTCTTATATTTCACTCGACTTTCTTCAATCTGATTCTTTAACGTTAAAAAACGCTCTTTCAAGAGGTCTTTACAATGGTCTCTATCAATACGAACGCATATCAAATGAAAAGAGACAAAATATATTTCTTACTTCACAAAATCAAGGGTACTGTCCATAAAGTTGAATGTATCGCTTCTATTCTCCTTCTGTTTTTCATACACAATTTTAAATAACAGAAAGCAAAGAAATACATGATTTGCACTTCTTTTATTTACTATTTGTAAAGAGTGAGTGAGGGAGCGAAGACAATGAATATGCATTATTTTTGCAGTCCAAGGACAAATGACAAGAACAAGCAACTAAAAGAACGTCATAGAAAAACTTCCTTTTTAAGACGTCTAAAAATAAATATGATTTTAGCATCTACCATAAACATCCCATCATCTACTGCTTATTAAAAGATTCAGAAAAATTAGCTTTGCATCGGTAAATAGCCAAGACTTCCATCACTGAAGACGCCTATGTTATCTTTGCTTTTGAATGGGGTGTGGGTCTGGGTGTGCGTGTGTGGGTGTTGATATTCTTGAAATACATGCGCACACCCACACCCACACCCGCACCCGCACCCGCACCCGCACCCGCACCCGCACCCGCACCCGCACCCACACCCTCATCGTCTTTCTCTTTTGCAACGTCAACATGTGTTGTATGAATAAAAAACTTTGATTCCTTTCCCATGCTGGTAAAAACAATTCTCCTTCTGCGCAACACTTCCACAAATTCGATGTAATTTTATTTCATCAACTACCGTCATTTTGAAGGTAAGTCATGTTACCGAGGCAGCTCTATGTGAAAGAAGGCAATTTGCTGAACATTATCTTAAATGCAGCTGATGCTCGTATTTTTTTTTGATATCTAGTTGCCTGAGATGCGTCCGAATTCCGTGAACTCTATACTTTTGAGGAATTCTGAACTCACAAGTCAATTAATCTAACATCAGAGACAAGAAACCAACCGAGAATCCTGTATAAGCTGCTGAAACTGAAGGAACCCAATGAACTCAAGGATAGGAAGACCCAACCTCCACCATAATTTATATTTTGGTTTCTGTTCATCCGATCTCGCTGAAATTTTCAGAGGATATATATCTTATGCTAAGTATATTATGGTAAAAATTTCACTTCACAATGTTGAATCTACCGAGGTTTACCTAGGGATTACTGGCCTACATGTAGCAGCCAGGGTTTCCCAAATCCCGCTGCCGTTTCAAATGTAAGGAAGCTCGGGCTAGTTTTAAAATATACGAAAGACCTAGTACTACAACTTAACAGAGCCTGATTTTTAATTTTGGTCTTGTAAATTTTTTTATCGAAGATTGGGTCATAAAATATCGTAATAGGAGACCTTGCATTTTGATGCATTTTATCTCACAGACAATGAATGCTGAATTCGAAATTTTGGCTCTGTTAAGTTGTAAAACCAGTCAGCTCATTTATTTTAAAACCAACCCGAGTTCTCTACTGCTAGGGATGTAAAAATACCAATACCATATGGTATTGATATTGGTCAGGTATTGGTATTGGTGGTATCGGTTATTGGGCAAGTATTCCTATTGCCAAGGTATTGGTATTGGTCGGTATTGGTATTTTTAGTATTGTTAGTGATATTAGTAGTGGCACTCTGTAGAAAACAATGGTGTCATACTGAACCTTTTCTCGGTACCATTTTCAGCACCTTTTTAAATTTCTAGCAAAAAGTCTTGAACTTAAAATTGTTTTAGACAAAAATGTGGAACTTTAAAAGGCTCGAGCCTTTTGGCTAGAACCTTAAAAAAAGGTTCTGAAAATGGTACACAAATCTAGAACCTTAAAAGGTTCAAAACCTTCGCTTAAACCATAAATGGTTCAGTACGGCACGTTCTTTTTTAGAGAGCAGTGGCATTCGTGGCATCAATAAATTCTACCAGAAAAAGCAAATGGAAATTCCTAGTAGGCACCACCCACCTAGCCCATGCAGTAGACAAAATAGTGAATACTACTAACAATACCAATAATACTAATACTTTACCAATACCAAACAATACAAATACTCCAGTACCGTATTGGTATTGTTACATCCCTATATACTGCTTAAATTGGCGAAAAGATTTGGAAAATACTAAAGCGTTATGGCAAAAAAAATCTATTGTGAGAAAAGCGTGAAAGACGTTATAGAAGTGAAATTCAGGACTTTTTGTACCATAACATGACATGAAATCAATTTTTCAATAATCTCCCGTCGATCCGTTGGTTAGATACAACTCAGAAGACGCATACAGAGGTTTATGGAGCAAGTCTTACTTGTTCTACATAGTTATGTTCTGTGCGATCTCGGACAGTAGTGTAAGCAGGATTTTTGATCAGACCAGGCCTTTCTCTAAGAATACAGGATGCAAATATAATGGATGGCTAGTTGATATAGGCCTCAGATGCCGGCTATCTATCAAAAAAATTTTCTGAGTGATGCTTGTGAAAACAATAAGCATTTCTCTGAGACTCACCAGAAAACTTTCAAAACCTTTAGGAATATCATAAATCTGAGCTTGCCATCACAAGCTATGTTAAATTTCATCTACAGATCTCAAATTTTATCTGAAAATATTCATCCATTCAGAAGTTGTGGCGTTTTCAAGTTCTGCGGTATATCTTTTGCAATGTACGAGAACTTCAGAATGTCACAATTTCTGAACGGATGAATATTTTCAGATAAAATTTGAGATCTGTAGATGAAATTTAACATAGCTTGTGATGGCAAGCTCAGATTTATGATATTCCTAAAGGTTTTGAAAGTTTTCTGGTGAGTCTCAGAGAAATGTTTATTGTTTTCACAAGCATCACTCAGAAAAATTCTTTGGTAAACAGTCGTCATCTGAGGCCTAAATCAACTAGCCATCAGTTATACTTGCATCCTGCATTCTTAGGCAAAGATCTGACCTGTCCAAAAATCCTGGTTATTTCACTAGTATCGGATCATCAACGCCCATATCCGAATGCATAACCTATTGTATTATTTGATAGTTGGGGATCCATTCCAAAATTTATTGAAATTTCTGTTTGTTTTTAAAGATATTTTCGTTTCGCTCTGTGAAACAGACAACAAGAAATTTATGGTTTTTATTCTGTGAATAAAGATGAAGATCCATGTGAATATTCAGTAATTTCACTTGGTTCTGTCATTTATATATATAGATTTACAAGTAGCAATGTGTGTCAAGCTATTATACTTGCCGATACACGTAAACTATGACTGTTACTATGAAAAATCAACAGTATTACAAAATAAGCCTTATTTTCTGGAGTACGGGGGTTTCTGAAAAATTGATATTACATCATAAAAGCTCATAATAAAATCAATAAACTATAGTTCATTCGAAAGTAAGCCTTTAGCTAGAGCCCGTCGGGTCAGATCTGGCCCCGGAACCGGGCCCGGGTCGAGTCGGGGCCTGAAGCAACTTTTGATCAACGCACGATTCTTTGAAGTATTGCTCATCTTAACATTGCCTGAGAAGTTGGTTAACTTTGACTATTAGAGCATTGAAAACACTATTTCTATGTTTAGTGAATCATGTTCGTCTTTCTTAGATACAGATGAAATTCGAGTGTTTTCTGACTCTGAAAATTTTCTATTCGCCGGGTCCGGGTAGGGTCCAGGTCTAAAGCGTATTCTTATTAAACGGGTCCGGGTTCAAGAGAAATCCAATCCAGTGGGTCCGGGTCCAAAAATGTGGGACCCGACAGGCTCTACCATTAGCTCTATTTAATGTGCTACAAATCGAAAAATCGAAAAATTTGACGAAAATTGACTATTTAAGATAGGGATGGACCTTAAGGAACTCAAAAATATGACGTATCCCAGGATAGTCAAGGAATTCAAGTGTATATATCAGTTAGTCAACGTAAGCCACAATCGACCTCATAAGATTGTCCTCAATTGTGGTCTCCAGAGTTAGTTCAATTCAAGATATGTGATAGAGGAAAGAGTTCTAAGAATTTTAGCGCAAGCCGTTTCAAAGGTGTACTTTTGAAATGGCGTTTGGCAATAATCTTAGATCTCATCTGTCTATCACACATCTTAAATTGAGCTAAATCTGGCGATCTCGATTGAGCATTGTCGGTTGTGAGCTAAATGGAAATACTAAGATCGTAGTCAAGGTGCCAGGACATGATCTAAACAGAGTTCAGGTAACTGAGCATATTCCGACCGAAATACAAAAAAACATGGCATGCTATTCTCTTCATGTCACTCACACTCAGAAAATGTTGGGTGAGTCCTCACATAACAAAACGTCATTGAGAAATATAATGTGTATATGCTGTTCAGGTACCCACAATGAGAGACCTGGAGTGTGGATCTTAACGAGGTACCCTCATTGATAGATACCCTTGAATTGTTCGAATTCTTTGCAATACATGAGTTGCTTGAATTCTTTGGGATCCTTGAGTTTCTTGAACCCCTAGTGCTAACTATTTTGTTTCGTTTTTGTGCATTACAAGAATTGATTATTGAGTTCAGAATTCACAGAAATTGAACACTGTTGGTAGTCATCACAATGATTTCTTTTTCATAAATGAATGATATCGATTCTTTTAAGAGAATTTAAATTACAAGTAATGATGTATCAACCTTATCATAGCATGATGTAACTTTTATAGAGTTCAAATCAATAATACTTGAGATCTAGTAGTAGAAAACTAAATAAAATTGCGTTTCATTTTTTTAATTAGATCAATTGTTGTTATTTTGTATTTGGTTAGCACAAGATAACGCATTAAAACATGATTTTGGAGCTGCTGCTGATTATTATCGCAGCATCTATATGGTATTTTCAGTATCTCATGCACTACGGTATGTTCAACTAAGTTTGCTAAAAATAACTTCATGAAATAAGGTACGGAAAAAAGTCTTCAAGAGTTTTGTAATTATTGTATTTCTGCAGGCACTTGCATAATATTAGCTTCAAAGTAGTCATTGAGACGAGCATTTCAGACTATACTAATCGTATAAAAGTAAAGCTTACGACTCATGAAATAAAAGAGATATAATGGTAAGAAAATTATGCGTGTTTCTCGGACAATTTTTTTGATATTTCTCGAAAATGGTGTTGCAGTCTGTGTTTCATCAATTTTCGCTCACTTATTCTTTACTGATCTTCTCTTCTTGAATTGGAACCGATTCCTTTTTTACACTTAATTTAGAAAGAACATCAAATTCTGACTCTAGGTGAGTGATTTTTACCCTCTTCAATAGCATTTAAATATTGAGAAAATCAGAAAAAATATGTAATAAGATTGGTGAACTGCAAGTGTTGTACAAATAACATTCTTGGTTCCTCGAAGAATTTGCTCTTAATGTACTCAACCATCAATCAGAAAATAATTTTCAATATAGAACTAGGAATACATTAAAGATAAAATTATGTAAGTACCGGCAGAAATGCAATAATTACAAGAGCTCTGAGAATTTCTTTTGCATGCCATAAATGAAACTTAAGAAATAGCGGTGACTGACAAATGCTGATCTGGTATATGATTGATAACGGCATAGAAAACTTTCAATGTTACCTCATGTATAAGCTAATGAATTCAATGACTGAAAAACAGTATTTGAAAACTTACCGCGTGATATTTGGTTAGAAATTTAACGATTTCAACCATGAAAACTCGTTTAGAATACAGTAGTTAATGATAAAACGTGCGTTAGTTTTTTGTATATTTAACACGTATTCAAGGATAAAGTTGTAATTATTTAACTGTTCAATCGTCCAATTATACATGAATATGCACGTGAATTAATACCGTTAAATTCTAAAACAGTTTTACATGGATTGTGTGTGCTCGAGAAAATAATATTCAATTTCGTTTAAATCTCTTTTCCACGACCTAGTCTTCTGTAAGCCATATATTTTACTTTTAGAAGAAGCTGACGCCGATCCACCTAGTCGTGAATTGCCAAAGCAACAAGCTGTATTAAAAGCATACTACGATAGCTTTCCAGATATCGATACTGTTACTAATGTAACTAATCCAGACATTAAAAAAGCTGAGGAGTTCACTAGATCAATATTAAATATAAAACCATCGGGAGACGTGTCGAACAGAGATACAGCATGTCATATTATAAGCAAATTACTTGGCGATTCAGGTCAACAATGTTTATTTTTTGATTCTGCAAATGGTATCAATCTTCATGATGCATCTGGAAATTTGACTGATATTGGTTCTGAAGAGAAGATATTCGTCTTGAAATTGAGGAGTAGTCAAGGTCTAGGAGGCGACATGACAAGAAAGACTTTCGAGGATGACGTAAAACTCGCTGAGATTCTAATGGATTGTGTTAAACAAAATAGACATCATCCGATTCTCGAAGATATTCGTAATCAATTAGCAGCAGCACATGAAGTCACCAAAGATCGCATTGTTATAAAAGCTGTGTACGCCGGATCTTGTAGTATAGTTTACACTGTGTTAGATTTGACACCAAGCGCACTTGAAAAACTCGTTGATGTTTCGAAAAAACTAAAAACACAATTTGGCAAATTTTTAAGTGCAAAAGTTCATCCATTATTATACCGCCCATCATTTGACATAGCATGTTTTGATGAGAGAGGCAATAGAACATTTAGCAGCACGCCAAATACTCATCAGATTGGTCCATCGGGGCGTACCAAAATCTATACTGAAGCTGCCGGTTGGACTAGATATGGACTGAAGGTACTGAATAAATACAAAAACGATGATTGGTTGCACCCATTTCAGCATTGTAACAATTGGTATAGAGCTTTCCATGGCACAAGAAATGCAAAAGCAGTAGATTTTGGTGAAACTGATGAAAATATCGAACAAAAGGCAGCGCCTATCGATGCAATCGCAAACATTTATAAGAGAGGTTTTCGTCCCGCAAGAGAAGCTGCATATGGACCAGGCGTTTATTGTTCTCCTAATCCTGCTTGGCTCGAACGTACATATGCTGGAGCAGTTGAAATCGACACTGTAAAAGGAAAGAAAAGCTTTAAATGTATGATCCAAGTAGCTGCAAATCCTGATGGTGTTAAATGTGCCACCAATGAAATATGGGTTGTTGCTAAGTCTGAAGACATTCGACCATATGGTATACTTATCAAAGAAGCTTAACTGAAACTCAGTGCAAAAGAGCTCAAAGCGAAATAATAGCTACTCCTAATTAAACTGTTTCGAAAAAAAAACATATCTTGCTAAAATGATTGCAAAATAAACATCATGTTTCAAAGAAAATATCCATACAGAATATTTACTGGAACCTATTAGCAAGCTCCTAAGTATAATGAAACAGATTCTACTTACAGCACGACCTCTGTATAGTGAACCAAAGCGAGTTGTTGATTCTATCATACGAGACGAAAAAACGTTCTTTCCGAGAATGCTGAACTCTAAAGGATTCTATTTATTGAATCATGAGCAATAGTGAGTATTCAATTATACTACTAAAGTCCAGGAAGGTATGTCCTTCATAGCGGAGCTACCACAGGTTCTGCATTATATTATTTTGAACCGAAAGGGTTCTGCCAATTAATACTAAACTCTACAAAGTTGCTTATTGGAAGTTGTTGAAAGAGAAAGGCTTTGCTCTTGTATGCAAAGTTTGAGAAGATTTTATTCAATGACATTGTTCTTTAAAATATCTTGGTTAATGGTGCTGAGCATTAAAATTTCTTTTGATACTTAGCCAACAAAAATGTTATCACTGCATCGAAAAGAGCCTCGACAAGAAACGTTCTGTGAAGAAACAGTAAGACTAAGTTACGGCCTCGTTATCAGTCCACGGGATTAGAGTCCTGCAACCTGACCCGACCCGATGACGGGTACGGATTTAATATTTTCTGGTTGGGTCGGGTATGGGTGCTAAAACTCGTACGCGTGCAGGACTCTACAAGGGATCTCGCTTTTCGTAGCCTTAAAACCGTTGAAAACTAAAATATATGTTACTCATACGGTTCGTTTTCTCCACATTTGCTTGCCATCGTAAAATAAGAGGAAACGCAGCTAGTGGCCTGCGAGACAACTCGGAATCTAGAAATCATTTTGGAATGAGGCGAATGGGATTGTGGACACATTTAAGGGGTGGGTGTGGGTGTGTGGGTGTCAGTGTGGGTATCAGCTTTTTGTATAACAACACCCACACCCTCAAGTTGTTGTGCGGATTGAATTATTCTACGGTGTGGTCGTTGTTCTACTATTATTTTTTAATGTTGATTGTTTGCAGATTGAAGTATCCAAGAAAATAGTTAAATAACATAGTCATTGAAGTAATTCCATTTCTGATGATTTGTCGTTTGGATTTTGAATAAACAGAATAGAACAATTTTCGTCGGTCACTATCAAAGTTTATATACCTAAATCGATAGTGGAAGTATGAGCAAAAGAATGGAATTTGGTTGATTGAAATAATTCAAGTGGTCAAATAATTACTTTGCTTCTGTAGGCAAAATACAAAAACTTAATAAAATCACGAATGGAATCTGTTACAAAAGCCATGTTAGCGTATTAAATGCTTTTCTTTCATGAATTTCCACCGCATTAACAAGAAACGATCATGCTTGCCCCCAAAACATTTCTCAATAAAAACGGAAGTGCATGATTAAATTGAAAAAACAATCCATTTTCTTCTTGAATATAAAAATGTAAATTTATATATTTGAGCATAATAAGAGTGAAACGAACCTAGACATACTATGTAATGTAAGATATTTTTCGTTTTAGAATCGGATTGATTACTTTATATTCATAATGGTTCAAGAGGATTTTTGTTCGTAGGACTACAGATCATGTCTTTTATTGAAACGAAGAACTATTTATCAGATCGACTTTCATTTCCTGAAATTGTTTACAGAAGTGAATCAATATCTCTTCGACAAAACTCATCAATAAATCCTGAAATAAAACCATTATCATTGTAAGTTCATAAAATCTATGTTTTAATATTAAATGAATTGTTTTTTTTTGCATTTAGATTGCAAAAATTATCGTCATTTTCGACTAGGTAAGTATATTCTTACTATAAATCCATTCCATTTATATGTGATGCATTAATAGTTCGAATATTTTAAAATAACTGAATAGAGTTCGTTGAAATACGTTAGTTTTTACATATTGACATAATAGTTTTGTAGCGAAATTTACGAAAGTTTATCGAAATTGGTGTACGCCAGAGGCATCTATGTTCGGCATTCATAATTTTGATCTAAAATCTGATTTTTTAAAAATCTTACTCGTCATATGGTTAGAAAAAATGAAGCAAATATCATATGTAAAATCGAAGGAGAAAATTTATGCCAAATGGTATAGATAATAATCAAGATAAGTTCTCGTAAAATTTTACTCTTGTGAAAACCGTGAGCTAATTTATTTGAGAAATACTATTAGCACTAGTTCACATAGATACAAGCGAACTACTGTTAATAGACCGAGTCTGAAAATAAAACGTTGTTTCATAGTAAATCATTGGTATTTATAAACCATAGTGACGCAATGTTGACAATCATCATTACATTACGAGCATTCACTAAAGTACTTCTGAAAATAATTGTAGAGTCATCAGGAGAATAAGCATTGATCACATCTATGCATGCTAGTTCCGACGAATGAAAATGTAAAATACGATCTTGAGAGATATTTCTTCGCCTCCATTTTACTTTTTCCTTCACAGATGCAATGAATTAGTTATTTTGATGTTGAAACAAAATTTTTTTAATATATAGTCTGTGATATTAGGTGAACAACAGCTGTCAGGTCTGAAATGATGAGCTATATGGATGGTATTATTCATGATGCCTGAGAGAGAGGTATGAAAATCAAAATTGACGAAAAATTCTTGCAAAAATTGCTGCTGATTTTGAATAGAATCTTCGTTCCATTTTAAACTGATGTTCGGATAGTCTAAATCTCTGTAGACAAATCCTTCTTGACAGAATTTTGTTATTGTATCGAAAAAATCGACATTTCTCAACAATGATACAATTTTAGTCTTAACGACATGGCGAGTAATAATTTCGGTATACTCTGGTAGTTAGCTATTGTGTACATGGGAGACTTCGTACAATTGAATGCAAAAGCCGTGCATGAGATTTAACGAAAATATCAGGCTATTAAATTCGCCACTAGATAACAAACCATGCTACAAGACAATCATAAAACTGAGAGTATTTTTCCATTGTAATAGACTCTTTTGATTTTTTTCCAAGCTAATTTTGCTGAATTTCTCTACAAAACCATCATTCGAATATATGAAAAAGAACATTACTAGATAGAACTTAATGAGCTTTGCATCACCATGACAAAAGAGTTTTTCCTTCATTATATAGACGAAATAATCAATCAAATGTTTTATCTACTGATATGGTTCAACAACAATTGAATGAATTACTTAATGAACCTATATCAGAACAATATCAACGTCACTTTCGTAAATATTTTGGTGGTAATATAACTACAAAAACATTTACGATTCATGAATTCGCTCATCTGTTTCACGTAACATCACTACTTAGTACGTGCTTTGTTTGATTATTTAAATCAATTGAGATTTGTTTTCTCTTTTATAATATAAAGATAAACAAATTTTAATTACATTTAAATTAAATGAAGTATGTGAAAAGAATTCAATATTAGTGAAGATATAATTCGTATAGCTCGTCTTCTTTGGATAACACCAATGTCAGTAAAAGCATTTATACTTTTTAAATTATTGGATGTTAATGATGATGGAAACATTTCTATAGAAGAAATTCGTTTATTTTATGAACATTATTTGTCTGAACTTAGATTTCTTAAAGAACAAAATAGATTAAATGGAGCTGCTGATGTATTTCTTCATAGATTTTTTTCCAAGAAATGGTGAACAAAATCAACAAGAAGAATTAAATTTTATCGACTTCTTCAACAAAATCCATCCATTTTAAAGTCACTCTATCTAATTATTATACCTGATCAAGATAAAGAAGAAGATGAAGAAAATAGTTGTTTACAACTATTTTGGATGTATATAAAAAATAATACCAGTCGTATTGCTTTTATTTTATTAAATATCCCAATTCGAATCGGATCGATTGTTTATGTTATTGTTGATCGAGTTGGTGTTATGTTAGTTAACTTTAACTATACAATTGCAATAAGTAAAATGCTCAAACAAACAATGACTATCATTCGACGATTATGTTTTCTTCGTTTAATTATACCAGTTGATGATCATATTGATCCACATCGTTTAGTAGGAACAATATTATTTATTTCTTCCATAGTACATACATTTGGTCATGTAATTCAATTTGCAACCCATACAGAAGGTAATGAATAGATTTTTCTTTCGATTTAAATTAGGTTTGAATCAATGTTGACAACAGTTGCAGGTATTGGTTGGGTGGGTCTCTCATTTAGCTACTATCACTGGCGATATTTTGTTTGTTTTACTTGTTCTAATGTTTATTTTTTCATTACAATGTGTTCGACAACGATCTGACTTTTATCAATTATTTCGTTATAGTCATTATTTATTTTGGCCAATATTTATTCTTCTTGTTATTCATGCGTCTAGAAAAAATTTATTTACTCAAACGACATT